GCCCGGGAGCGGCCCAGCCACTTCCCTCACAGCGCACCCAAAACCCGGCTGTTTATGGCCAAAAGAGACGCCGTTATCTCCACCTCCCCCCTCCTTTCCCTCCCCTCGCACCTTTGAGCACTGCCTGGCCCACACTGGCCCAGCCAAACCAGTCTGGGGCCAGGCAGAAGGAAAGCAAGCCAGCAGCAAGGTTGCCCTGAGGCAACTGGGTAGACACCAGTTATGCCCTCAGGACTTAAACCCTCCTTGGCCAGGCTCTTGCCATCTGCCTTGAAGCAAGGGCAGCAGCAGGACTGCTTTGGTTTAGCTAGTGGCTGGGGGGTGTGGCCTTCTGCCAGAGCTGTCCCCGCAGCAAAACGGCTCAGATCTAAGCAGCCCTAATCCTGCAGCAAGAGCTGTGCTGTGAGGCTGGTCCCTTGGGTTCCACGCTGGCACAGCGTTAGCCGCGTGGCCACAGAGCGTCCTTCCCCAGCAGCCATCTCGACAGGGCTCCCTCGTACTCAGGAGTCCTTCTGAGTCAGAGAGGCCTAGCCAGGAAATGCAGAAAGGCAGCATTTGGCTAACAAAAATGCTTGTCGCTGTCCAGCAGAGGAATCCATCCATGGACCTTCACCTCCATAGTTCTCTCCAGGGTCCATAGCGTTCTCAGGGTTCTCTCTGGGTCCATAGTGTTCTCTCAGAGCCACCCATGAGATGCTGGTGGCATCCAAGAGCTGTGACCAGCCTGTGGCCACCCCAGTTGCCCACAACCTGCCCCTTGGTGCGTTCTGAGCCTTTCCCAGCTACCTGTGGAGAACTCAGAGCAACGTCCCTGGCCACGGCGTTGCCCTGCCTCTTCCCAGAGTGGATGCAGTCACGGCCGCCCTCTACCTCACGTCTCCCTTTGGCCACCATGTTCTTCAGCCTCCCAAAAGCAGCCCCCAGCCGTGTTACGGCTGCTGCTCTGGGACCAGAGCGGTCCCCTGTAGCAGAGGGAGCACAGGAATAGGATCATTAAGCAGAAGCATCCCTGCAATGCAAGAAAGCAGCCTGGAGATATCGATCAGAAGTCATGAGTCAAAGCAAGTATTTAAATCAGTTTGGTATCTAAATCATTGCCATTCCTTAGTGTGTCTCATTTCCCTTATATGCTAGGCACCATATAAAGGTTCCTCTGTGTTAAACCTCCTCATTCAGTCGACTTTTATCATCTAAATGTGTTTCCAATGGATGAAGAGGGTAAGTCTGCTTTTTCTGAGGCTTTATTAGCACGTAGACCTAGGTGGAGACGTCCTGCTTAGCTGGTGGCACAGGGTCTCCAGCTGTGCCGTGCTGCCTGGGTGCCCAGGGCAGAGTTCTTGGGATCTCTGTGGCTTCTTGCTGTGGTGCAGCATCACTCAGATGGCTTGGAAACGAGGGAGAGGCAGGTCACAGTGCTGGGGACCATGCGCTTCAGGAGGCTATAGACCTTGAGGAGGCCACAGCTAAGTCTGCAGTAGAACCAGCACATGGCCATTGCGTTTTCTTTGCATATTTGAGTAAACTTGCAAAGCGCTGGGCGCATTCTCCGTATTATTCAGCAACAAGCCTGTAGAGGATCCGTACTGATCGCATCTCTCTCACGGCTGTGCTGATTAACTAATCTAAAAAATCCCTGGGGATACTGAGTAACGGCAGCCTGCATCCCGCCAGTCCCATTATCTTTCACGGAGGTTTTATTTGGCCACTCTTGCAGTGCTTTAAAAACATAAACAAGGGTAATTTCTGCAATTTTTACAGACAAGATGATGAGCAGTGAGAACTGTAACAGTTATTAGATAAATTAAGGCAAAAGGATGTATTCAGATTTTGATTCTCCAGAACTACACCCTAGAGGTGAAAAACAAGTTATCCCAGTGTGCTGCTGCCCAGCCCAGGATTCCCACAGGTTCTGGTAGAGCCTTCGTGACCCTCCTGACCGCGGTCTCCCCCGCCATCCCCCAAAATGGAACAAAACATCCAAAAACAGCAGCGTCTCCTGTACCCGTGGGATGTTTTCCTCTTCCAGATATACCGCTGGTTGAGAGGGAGGTGTCCTCGCCGGCGCAGAGGCTACAGACATGAGATCTCGTCGCACTACGGCACGGGCTACTGCAGCCGTGGCGGCGTGTCGAGCCTCCGGGGACACGGCTCCTTCTTCTGCGATGGGGAAGGCTCCATTACCTACAGCCGGGCCAGTTCACCCTGCCGCTTCATGCCCAGCTCTTCCACCTTTGTCGCTGGAGGGGAATACCGATGCGCTGGTGACGGCTGTGTTGTAATAACCCGTGGGGACAGTGGGGGGTCATCTGCATGGGGCATGGCACGGGGGTCCGTGTGCGACACAGAGGGAGGACCAAGGTACAGCATTGAGGACTTGGGCAGTGCTGTGAGCTCCGGGGCTGGTGGGGCATCCAGCTACGGTGGGAGCTGGGGCTATGGCACGGGAAGAGACTCCGGCTATGGGTATGAGATGTCATCAAGAGACAAGTGCATCACAGCGGGTGAGGGCGGCGGTGGATCCGGGTACTGCGGTGGCCCAGAGATCATCTCTGGAGGCAGCGGCTGCTCCCAGTCTATGCAGCAGAAATGCCCTGTGGTCGTTCCTGAAATCAAGTCGGATCAGACCAAGCAGGAGTGCCAGTGGCCCCTCAGCCAGAAGAAGTGACCAGCCCCAAAGCCCCCCGAGTGCCCGGACAGCAGTGCCCGGGCTGTGCCACATCACGGCTCTTCTCCAGCCCCCTCGTTATCGTTCCTTCCCTGGGCCAGGCCATGCTCACGGCCAACAAATCATTGGTGCTTTGGGGCTGGGAAGGGATTGCTCCCTCCATCCTCTTTTTCTCATGGGATGGGAAATAAAACCTTCCTGCCTGCTGGAACTCCCCACTCTGTATGGTTTCTTTGTTCAAAATACAAGTGGATCTTTGATAGATACCTATGGAGTCTACTTCAAAGTGGGCTAAGGAAGATTTATCTTTCAACATACATGAAATCCGTTTCGATGTGTACTTTAGTACGATTAAAATACATAGTTTTCAATAGCGAGAGCAGCTATTGGATTTTGTGCAGTCTCTCGCAGTGGAAGGGCCCTCAACCCTCTCCAGAGCCTCGACCTCGATGCGCAGGCAGCTCCGAGCTAGGTTGAGCGGATAGGCAGAACTCCCAGGTGATTTCCAGCTGATTATTATTTACACAGTGACCTTGGGAATGCGAGATTGTTTACCTGGAAACAATTATCTACCAAGCTCCTGTCCCAAAGAGATTGCAGGGGATGTTGTAAGCCCGAGCACGTAAACCTTTGCTTGCACCAGGGGCATGGCGCAACATGAATGAACTCATTTGCTTCTTTGGAGTAACCTTATGGCATTTTTTGATAAAATTGGGTCCTAAATTAGGAAGAAGGAAGAAGACGCTGATCCTGTGGTTCCTCTGTGCCACGCTGATAGGACAGTGGAGGTTTCAACTTCAGGGGCCGGTTGCCTCGTGGAATATGGCAAACTTTTAGGGCTTCAGGACTATTCTCTGTTTTTCTTTTGTTTACTTTTTGACTCATCCAATATTAGTAATGCAGGAAAAGACACCCAGTGAACTGGTCATATGTGTCTGTCCGTAATTGTTACTCCCTGTCCCACCTGGCCGTTGCTCCACATGCTTCGATACGAACCAAGACAGATCAGATAACAGACGCAGGACAGAAGGGGGAAATTGCTCTTGCGCCCGGTGCTTGCGCGTTGCTCTGCTGCAGCGAAGCCGCGGGCCTGGGGCGCATGCACAGAGCACGTCGGAGCAGCGCCGCGCGCGCGGGCTGCAGAGGGATTCTCCGGCACGTACGGCTCGCCTGCAGCGGGAAGCAGGAGACAGGTGGAGTCTGAGTTTTACACACAGACACACACACACGTTCGCACACGCAGATTTCCTTCCCGCCTCCCTGCCTGCGCAATATGGGAAGAACGATAACTCTTTTGTTGCAAGAGGCGCTAATAACTTGGAGATCTCGTTCACAAGCGTGTCCGTGCTTGCCAAAGCGCTGCCCTTCTGCCTCGGTGCATCACCAGCTGCATGCAGACACACAGGCTGAAAGGTAAACACGTATTTGGCATCTTCGCAGAAGATGAAAGTCACAACCTGATGCCTCTAGACACAAACCAAAGAAAATACTTCTAGAGATAGCAAGTGTTAGCCACCCCTCTGCAGCTTCAGATGTTCAGCTGCTTTCTGCCCTCCAAAACCTTGCGCCTGCAGTGTTTGCAGAGAGATTAAGACACAAACTGAGGTGCTCAGTAAGATGAAAGGAAAACTGCTGAAGCTGCATGATCCGGATGCTAATGAAAGGGAAAAGAGAAAGCTGTGGTGGCTGCAGTCAGTTCTCCGCTGGGAGCACCCCGGGAGCATCGGCAAAGCCGCGGTCGTACCGCAAGCGGCATCGGGGCCGGGCAGGCACCGGCCTCGCGGCATTTGCATGGAGGCTCCGTTCTCCTGCCACCCCCTCCTGCCCCGGGGCAGAGCGGGTGAGACGGCCTCGTGTGCTGGGCCCTGATAAGGGGCTCTGACCTCAGCCTTGCTCACAACTTACTCACACGCCGGGTTTGCTCAATCAGCACCTGCCAGCGAGCCTTTCCCATCACGGACAGGGGCTGCTTGAGGGACAGACTAAATATATATATCTATATATATAAGGAAAAAGAAAAACATTTCAAAAGAAGAATTCTGCCTGGAACTTTTCAATATTGGCCAGAAGAGATGTCAACTGTGTTGATTAGCAGTAATTATGCCAAAACCAGTGAAATGGCTGTAAAATCTATTTACAGGAAAGGGTTGTGCTCACTGAGACCGCACTACAGCTTTTGGGAATTCACTAGTACAAGCCAAGACTTTCCAAGGTTCCCCACATGGATCCCCTGGCTGCCGCAGCACGCTGTCACTCTGCAGTGGTCACAGATTTCGTTCTTCCCGTTTTATCACTACAGAAGGTGACCAAGACACCAGGGAAATGAGCCCCAGACAGGGAGCGAAGGCAGGGAGGGGATGCCGAGCCCCTCCACGACCAGCTGGCACCGCTGCAGGCAGCCGTAGGCACATTACGGAGTGAAGGTGCCTGTAAAGATGCTGTAGGAATTTTTAGGAATTTTAGGAATTAGGTTTAGAAAAACCATCTGAAAGCCTAAAAGTGGCAGCTCTTGTCCACTGTGCAAAGCCCCAGTCATTCCAGGACGGGTCGGAGGGAGCCATGGCCAGGCCCTGCAACCTCACTCCTCGCCAGGCTCGAGGTGAGAGGTTCCAGCAGAACAAGAACCCCAAAAGCACCAGCTTTGCCATCAGTTTTGCAACGTAGAACTCATCCTGGCATGACAGTGAGGCAGCCGAGCCACCCACACAGTTTTCACTCTTGGTGCCTTACCACTGGCATGGGGCAGGGTGGCAATTAAAACTGTGTAACACAGGGAAGACAATCTAAAATATGACAAGTCAATCAAAGGAAGCAGGTTGAATAAGCTTTTGAAGGTGGTAGATAATTAGAGGTGTGGCTGTTTTGTAAATACATTGGTCATTTCTCCTCGGGGGTTATTGCATTTTCAGGAAGAGCGCTAGGAATCGTATAAAAGTTCCCACAGCGCAGAGCACCTCATTCATTCGCCTTTGCTCCCTCTTCTCAGTGTTCCCAGCTACATCCAGGGTAAGTTTCTACTCCATGGCTGACGGTTTCTATGAAAATTTGCTGTATTCTTACAAAGATCAGTCTCTTTGCAGATACTGAGGTTGTCGAGAGATCGATTCTTTCTCAGGGGCTGGGACAGTTTTATTCAATCAAAATTGCTTTTGAGGCTGCTAATACTGTTCTTATTATGTACTAATATGTTCAGATTGCTTCCGTGTTCCTGTTTCCTAGTTTTCTAAGGACAAATGGGAATTAAAGGAAGTGAGGAATGGGGTGTGAGAATGAATGAGAGGTGGTAGGCTATTTTTCAGAAGAGACCTTGGGAGATAGGTGCCAGGTTCCTGTTCAAGCTGGGATTTTAGTTGTATTTACAAGCCTGACTCCACTAATAAATTCCTCTGGAAGATGTAAATCTTCAGGAATTGGAAGGATCAAGATGTCCTTGAAGAAATGTGGGACTGAACTGAGAAGGCAGTTCTAAAAACAGGAGGGAGGGTAGGTGTATTCCTCGTGCCCTTTGCGCTTTGGCTCTTCTTGCCCTGGAATAATCCCCGAGCCTCTTGTATGAGTCCTTCTGGGATACAGAAAGGGAATCCAGGGAGATGGAGTGCAATGTCGGGCAGAAACGGGGATTCAGGCAGCCACAGGAGTTTGTGAAGGCCTTTGGCTGATATAGCCCTGCAGGAAGAAGGCTTCAAGCCTGGAAAGCAGCCTAGGAGGACAGGCAAATGCCATGGAGCCTTAGGAGATGAATGCTGAGCAATGCATAGATAAATGGTAAACACACAGAACAAATCTGAGCTAGAATAGAGAGGAGAAAGCAGTGCTGTTCGTGCGCACTCACGGAGGCTCCTCTCCCTCCCAGGGCTCCCGTTGAAGATGTGCTCCCGTGGAGACCGCGGCTGCCACAGCACCGAGCGCTCCTCCCGGAGGACGTCGTGTGCCACGAAGTGAGGCCCGTGCCGGGCGTCACGCCGGTGGTGGTGCTGCCTCCGCAGGAGCCCGTGGTCACCCAGGTGCCGGTGGCCCCCGCTCCTTGCCAGCAGCAGCAGCAGATCAAGCAGCCGGTGCAGTGGCCCCCGCAGCAGCAGAAGTGAAGCGGCGAGAAGGAGCCCGTGGTCAGCGCACACTGCAGGGCCGCATTTTCCTCTCCCCCTCAAGATGCAGCCCGGAGCTTGGGCAGGCCCTGCCGCTTCCCTCCCGCACAGATACTCCCTCCTTCGCCTGATAATGCAAAGTGATGTTAACCTGCCAGAAATGTGATTTATTCTCTCGTGTTCCAGTATTTGAATCCGTTGATTTCCTGCTTCTGTCTTCAGTAGCAAAGATATGATATTAAAACCTAAAGCTCACAAAGAATCCTGGTGTCCTGGTGTGTGCGTCCCTCATGCGCTCTGCCTTGTCTCAGCTCCGCTCCTGAGTCCATATCTCTTAATGAACGGAGCTTTCTACAGTTTGCCAAAGGTTGTGTGTGCCTCCCCCCTTCCATTGCACTTCCGTATCGGTGACGCACACAAGCTCAGCTCTTTGGTCCCCGTATCTAGTGCATCTTCCAGACAAATCTAGATTTAGGAAAGCTGTCTGCGGGTGAAGGTGCAGAGAGCTGCATCATTTGTTAATCCCACAAGAGGGAATAGCAAATGGACAACTGTCCATAAGAGTCTAGAGCAACATTTCTTATTTCACTAGATTCATCCCTCAGTTCTTTTCCGGTGTCCGTAGACACAGAGGTAGATATCTACGGAAATTGGTGCCTCTGTGGGATGGGTGCAGTATTGTGTGTAATGCATTAGATATTTAATTAGGAGAAAAAAAAACTTTGTACTAAATCTTTGAAAGGAACAAGGAACTTATTATTAGCACTTGTTTTATTATTACTCTTAATTAAAATAATGAGCAGCATCATTCTAGTATGTTGCAGTACATGGTTGCAAGGTCAGGGCTGTGCAGCTCCCGCTGACAGGAGCTTTTCATGGTGTCCTGGACAGTCACATCCACCCAGATCCTCAGAC